GACACTGATCACCATATACTTCTGTCAACAAATTGTAAGTTTCAGTGGCAGATTTTCCAAGTTTTGTGAGGAATTTGATGTTAGCACGTTGTTCTGCATTAGCACTCAGCATTATTCCGACGGAGCTCAGAAACACGATCCGCTTCTAACAATGGTCGCGGCCAGACTAACCGATGCACGTGAATGAAACTCTGTGTGACGGTAGAGGGAAGTCCAAGGGTCAATGCCCTACCCTCCTCTTCGTCAATGACATGGCCGGAAATGAGTCATAAAAGTAATCCGGTTTCTTTATTGCCACACCTTGTAGTGCCTCAACCTAATACACCACCGTGTAACAGTAAGTAAAATAAAGGTATCCCTGTAACAGGCCGTGGAGGCCCACAGGGTTGTGAGATGTTGAGGTTCCCACATTTTCTAGACAACTGTCTCATAGATGGCAGTAAGTTTGTCAGCCCTAAGCCCCGGCCGCCCTTTACTCCCAAGAATAATCCAAGAATGTTCCTGGTAGTGGGACCCCCAACGTCTCACAACCCTATGGGCCTTCATGGCCTGTTAGAGGGATAGCTTTACTTACTTTTTACTCATTTCTGTTAGAGGCTGAGTCGACCCCAGGGCCACAGTGCGGCTGGAAGGAACAGATCAATTGAAAAAAAATCCAATGACCTCATTGGGATTTGAACCGCAACCTGCCGGCTTGTAGCATAGTGCCTCAACCAAATATGCTAGACTGTGTAAGAGTACTCAGCAAAAATAAATAGACATAAATAAAAGCCTATGGACTGATGCAAAAGTTGGAGCCCATTTAAAAACTCATCTCTGATAGTTTCATTAATATTTACACATAAAGTGAAAACATTTCTCATATTCTGTTTACCAACTGAGAAAAGAGGCTCAGCGTAAAGTCTGTACCATACATTTCAAGATGGCAAGCCCCCTATAAACAAACAAAAATAATTATACTTTAAAGGATTTACATATCATATAATAAAAAAATACACTGATGCAAATTCATATATATACAAAATTAAACTACGTAATCCAAATTTTCCATCATAGGTGGGGTCCCTTGTCACCATGTCATGTGTATCCTCAGGTTACGGATGGAGGAGATGGTCTTCAGATATGGTGCGTAGCTGTGAATATAGTGTATAAGCAGTCGCAGACAGCCAACAAGGGGTGGTCCTCTAGCTTGGGGGTTGGATGTAGGGCTAACAACTTCCCACCGTAAAAAAATAAGCTTGTTATGAAATGTAACAACTGGCATCTTCTCAAGAAGAGTTCAACGTCATGTAGTTAGTTAGTTAGTTAGTTAGTTAGTTAGCTAATCCCAATTTTATTAAATTACTCCACCCTCCTTTTCATATTGCACCCCACAAAGGTGCTTTGTTTGCATTGCCACTACACCAGTCTGGGTCACAATGCATAATTCCTTTGCTCTATCACCATACAATACACTGAGAGCCTACAAACTTACTTGAATATTGCTTCCTGACAGGCCTTGAACTTCATTCGTCTCCGGATAACATTCACCAGGTAGAATAACTATGTGTCCATAGAAAGACCCAACTGGAATTTTACATCTTGTGGTACTCATCCCATATCTTCCAATAGTTGTAATCTAAAAAATACATAAATGTGATGTTATATTAATACTGAAACACTAGTAAACTGCATGTGCTACGTGAACAGGGGCGCATTACTTTCTGCTATGCAGATCTTTACATGAAGAGTAGAACATTACTTGATCTTATTTTCAACATACTTCACGTATTTGCATACTGGTGGGAAATTCAAACGTACAACTGTATAACTGTACAACTGCCTACATAAGATATGATATAACCTGGTTCACAGAGAAAATGAATTTCAACCTGTGAAGAAATCGAATATTGTCTTGATATTTTATGTGCAACAAATGGAGCACATGTACAACTTTATTAACAATAGACACAAAACTTTTTGAGTTTCTCAATCCAACAATGTAACCAGTTTATTTCTATCTTCGTTATTTTCCGAATTATTAAAGATCAAAATGTGTCCAACTCTGATCATTTTAAACCAGCAAAATTTTACTGAACGATTATACGACTATACACATAATTTCTGCTACTAGATAGGCCCTATACTGAAGATTTCAGCTGCAAAAATGCATTGGCTTTATGCTACAACAAACAAGTTGCAGCTTTATGGAAAACATGTACCAACATTCTGGAAGAATTTACTGCCTCTATCTTCAAAGCAGAAGTTATAACTGCAGAAACCAACTTCAGTATATAAATTTTAACCTGCTGAATCCAACTTCAGGATACAAACTTCACCATGCTGCCTCCATCTTCAGGGTAGATATCCTATCTTGTTCTGGTAGGTGGTGACCAACGTGTAAGAAAACTTTGTTCCTTTCATCTTCAGGTTATAAAATATCTACTTTGAAAATGGAAAGCAGCAGGTTCCTCAGTAATGGTGTAGTGACCATCTAATAGGCTACATAATCTAGAAGATCAAGGTCCCAGTAACAGTGTCTCAAATCTCACGTAAGTTACAATATACTTTAAGGTGAGAATGTTGTCTTTTGGGATGTGGCACTGTGTAGATCTTCTGTGAACTGACATCTGTTCACGCACGATCTACACAGTGCCACATCCTAGAAGATGGAATTCTTCATAGTCACAGCTGTGAAAACCTCAAATACTACATACCTTAAGATATCTACACACTGGAGGTGGCTGCAGATCACTCATAACCAGAGACTTCGTTCCAATGTCAGATGCTACAACTAGCCTCTGACCATCCACTTCTTCACCCTGACACCAGATATCGATGGACAGGGACACAAGGTCAGAACAGGCTGGTATCATGAGATCAGTCAGTAGAATTGGGCTCCCAAAGTCAAGGACAACAAATCTCCTTGCACCTGAGTGCATCCTCTCAATGACAAGCATATGTTGAGGCGGAATCATCAACAGTTGCTGCCATGGTAACAGCACAGACCCCGCTTCATCGCCCTAAGCAATACAACACAAACCATAACATTTCACTCACACTCTGCATGGTTACAGCATGTGAATACTTTCTGTATCTTGAAATAAAAGTTTTTTCCTCTTAAGTATAAAAATATAGTGAAATACTCATTTATGGTTTCTCTGAGATAAAATCAATCTCAGCACTAGTGAAAAACTTTGGAGGAGTGATTTTAATACCAAGATAATTGGGTACACATCTTGCAAACTTATTCCTGAGTAAGTGAAAACCATATCCATCACATGGGCATTATGCTCTGTGCATGTGTGTACATAGGAATGAGGAACAATGACAGCATGAGGATATATCAGTTTGCATTGAAATTACATTTGTCATTACAAAGTACATTCTACTGAATTATGGAAAATTACAAACTGATATTACATCACATTTATGCGAACATACGACAACATTCAACTGAAACTAAGCATCACTGATTTTGCAGTACCCTGAAACAGGATCTGTGGTTTCAGATTATCAACATATGCAGTCAATGCCTTTTACAATGGAGAGTGAAGTAGCATAGGCTGTTTTTTGGCATGATGCTTTTAAGACGAAAATTAAATAAAACGTCATTAACCTTTAGGTTTCATAAAATTCAGGGCATTTCTTGACTAGCAGAATGACTTCAGGGTTAAGGTGGACTCTGCTTCATGAGTTTATTAGTTAATTACAGTAGTAAAGTGTTGCAGTTTAGAGTGACATACATACAACTACTGTGGGAAACACAAACACTATATACACAGACCACATTTTCAAAGTTATGGTAGTAAATTACACATATTGAAAAAACAACTGTGTATCAATTAAGTCCATCTATGCTATGAACCAGGGTACATCATACCTTGTGTATGCAACTATATGCAAGATAAGTCATACGTGAGTGAGTCTGAATTTCTTGCCAGTGTACGAATACCATGATCACCTCTGTGGTCTAATGGTCAGAGTTCGTGGCTACAGATCCAGAGGTCTGGGCTCGATTCCCTGCACTACCAGATTTTCTGAGAAGTAGTGGGTCTGGAACCCCTCATCCTCGTGAGGATAACTGAGGAATTATTTCAAAGAAATAGTGGCTCCTGTCTAGAAAACCGAAATTAAAGGCCATGGGGATTCATTGCGCTGACCACACAACACCCTCTATCCGCTAAAGTTGGCACTAACTTCGCCAACAAGTGGTGGTCACTCGGTTGGTATAGTTCGCTTGCGGACTAGAACTACGGAGTTGGTTTTTGTTTTTCTTTTCTTTTTATTTGTTTGAATACCATATGTTTGTTGGAAGTAGAATCTCAATAACTTTCTAACGATATCACTATGGTGTACACCACTAATAACAACACACCCTTGTTCCTACAGCAGACAGAGTATATGAAAGAATATCATTGGAATGAATTCATACGACTGGTTTTATCTAGCCAGTAAGATAGTTTTCATTGTTTTATGTTCTTCCTTTTTAAGCTTCTCTCTTATGGCACTCTGTCACAGAAGTTCATGATTATTCTCCAAACATAATTAAGTAATAATGTGGAATAATACCAGGAAAATGAAGTTTTGACATCATATTTCTTTTAAATTAAATTAAATTCAAAGTAGGTATTTTGTAATTTGTTATACCAATAGTTGCTATGAATACATTTACTTGAACAGAATACATAAACTGAAAGCTCTCTGTACACAAAAAGCAGAGAATGTACACACACTTCCCACAGAGGAGGGAGGAAAAAATATCAACCAGGCAGTGTAGCAATAAGATGAAATGCAAACCTTCTTGCTGTCTTGTTTCCTGTTGTCTGTGTCACACGATGAATTTTCCTTGGTCAAGCCAATATTTGAATTTTTGAATCTGGCAGGAGGTGGACCCGAGAGAGTAGACTGTTGTGAAGATGAACTTGAACTAGTTTCTGCATCTGCTACACCTCCCCCACCTAGTTTGCACACTTTAACCAGTCTTGGTGCCCTGGCCTTACATTTATTCTTATTCTCAAATGAGTAGAAGGACTGGCATTTTAACTTCATGTCTGAACTGGACGATGCTGGAAAGTAATCTTCCTTTTTCATATCTTCATAAAATGAGATCTGAAGGCAAATGATTAGAAAGAAGAACACTGTATTAATGATACTGTCTTGTTTAGAATACACTATTACCTGACAAGGTTACACACGTAATTTACAGTAACCAAAACATCTTTGAGGGGGGGGGGGAAGAGAAAACACAGAACACATTTGATGACAAATCAACAACTCTTAAAAAGTTCATTAGTTTTTGACATGTAGGTATTGCTCTTCACACAGAAGTCTACCAACTTTAGGTCATACTGGATCTGTAAGCACAATGTATAATTGAATAGGGGAGAAAAGAGAAAACAAAAGAACATGATGAAACAATATGCAAGTAAATGGCACAGAACCTGACACTGGTCAACTAGCTGGACCATCCAAATGGCCAAAGCATGAAAATGTACTCACAAATTCAGTATCTGCCTTTTTAGATCCAGAATTTGTAGTGATGAAATTGGCTGGATCAAAGAAATTCCCCATAGGAACAGAGCCATTTGCACCAGATGATGATCCTGAAATTTAAAATAACTAAATGAGAAGTTCAGGTGTGACCCACAAAACCATCCATCATGTACTCAATTATAGCAACACTACAACCTGGAATGACAGAGGAGAAGTTGGTGGAGGAGGAGGGGGGGGAGGAACTGACAAGCATTCGTTATAATCCTTTGAGGTTCAAAGTCAATGCTCATTCATTCACCAGTAATCTGTCAGACGACAGGTCCACAGTCTCTTCCAAAACAGTTCCTCCACTTAATGTGATCTAGAGCTTTCTCCTCCAAATAAGAATTCTTCTTCTGTCCCCAAGGTCATGCATCTTCTTGCTCAAAGTCACAAAATACAACAGTAAAACCTTGTCTAAAACAGAACTGTACTAAGTAAAAACTCATCTTCACTTAAGGATCTCTTTGATTGTGAGATGTAATTGTTACATTTATCTAACTAAAGAGAACCTGTTTAATTCGGACCTGGAAAGACAAAAAATCTGTCTGTCTAGTCTGCTTGAACACTTGCAGTTTATTGTTCTTGGAATTCCAATATAATCAGGTTTACAACATTACTTTAGTTTGTATGAGAATCCAATACCCAGATCACGACTCTACAGGGAGTCAACAAAATAATTGAAAATCTTAAGAAACTGAGGAATGGTATTTGTGTTGGCTACATGAAAGAACTTCATTTGGTAACACTGACTTCTTCTTCAGTCTGTTTACACTCTGTAGTGCTCATGTAAGTGTATTAATGACCATGCTGGAGTGACAGTTTGTGTGAAAGAATTGGAAAACAGGAGACTCTTCTAATTTTGAAGGAGGAGAGACTGTTGGTGTGTGTTTAACTGCAACTTCTTTGATGAATCTGCCATATTATTAAGTACACTGAGGGTAACAGTTTCTAAGGTTATGATGTTGGCATACGTGAATCATGGGAAGACAACATCAGTGAAGACGAACAAGCCAACACCCATGGTAGGGCTGCAATTGCAGTATGTCTGATTACTGAAAATAATGGTCAGATGTGTACATGATAGTGTCATGACCATAAAACTAGACATCAGAGAACTGGAAACACATGAGTGATAGTCATATGGTCATCCTTCACACTGTTCCCTACCTCAGGGCGAGTTTACATTTGGAGAACACCCAAGGAAGCCTACGATCCAGAATGTCTGGTTCCGACAGTGAAACAGAGGGGAGGTTCTGCAATGGTCTGGGCGACAGTATCACGGTATTCTGTTGGTCCCATTATTACCATTCATGGCCAAATTTTCTGCAAGGGGGAATGTGGACAGGTTGGGTAATTTGGTGCATCCCATGATTCAGGTATTATTTCCAAACAATAATGCAGTTTTCCGAGATGACAAAAGCTGCCATTCACACAGCTAGAACTGTTCAGCCTTGGTTTGAAGAGCATGAAGGTGAACTTGAACATCTTTTCTGACCAGCAGAATCATCAGATTTGAACATCAGTGAACATCACTGAACCACTCCACTCTGGAGATCAGAATGAGGAACAGATTCCCACTTCAAACACCTCTCAAGCAACGTGAAAATGTTCTTCAAGAATGGTATAAAATTCCACTACAGACTGTTCAAAACTTGTACGAGTCCATTCCAAGGATTAGAGCTGTACTGAAGGCAAAAGGCAGTCCAACACCATATTAATAAAGAAATGTGTACAGTATCCAGAGTTTCCATTATTTTGCCCAACCACTGCAATTTATCTCAGTATTATGGCTAAGGTGTCGCCACAGCCTTATCACCTCCACATCTCTCTTAAGCAATTACACTTCCTGCATTCGCCTCCAGCTGTCTAGGCATTCTGCTCACAAGAATTTCGAGAGTGATACATTTTATGATAGCTGACACAGACAGGAGTCCCATGGGAATACTGCAGCAAAGACCACTGGGACATCTGGTGGCCTCAGAATACATGAACTGTGGCGGGTGTTCACAAATAGAATTTTCCTACTTTCTGTTCTGATATCTTCTTGGGCATCTTCTTACAACATTCTTTATTAATAATGTATGAACCTACAGCTAATGCTTCCAAATCCTCTTACTGTATTATCTACACTGAGAAGATATGATAACTGACAAATTGACATACTCGAGAGAATTCACTGCAATAACATTTTCCCTAAAAGAAGCATTAAAAATGTCACACCTGGTTCTATCTTTTCCATCTTGGTGCCATCACTGGCTGCATGACATGTGAAGTGCAGAGGTTCTGCTTCCAATAGTCCCTTCATGTAATGATTTGAAGTAAGGCCTTTAAATCTTGTCGTTGTAGCTTTATCTCCAAGATTAGAACATCCAACTGTAATAATTACAATTCAAAGAGACCAGTGAGAAGTTGGAATCACTTTGGAACAGTTACCGACATACTTCAATGAAGAAGAAGATCCATTAAGAACTATGGAGGGAAGAGTTAATGTTAGCTAACATTTACAAAACTTTACCGGTAAAAAAAAGCAGTGACTGCGCTCAAGGTAGACAGATGATTACGAGATGCTGACCAGTGTTCTCATGCACGGAGCCCAGCCAGTCAAACACCACATTTTCTTACTACTAATACCAGTACAAAGTTAAAATCTCACAGCCCTGTACTAGCAGGAGATTTAAAATTTTATATTCCTGATAATACAGATTACAGGCACATGTAGCTAGGGTTAAAGAATTAAAACTTGCAGATTTTAATATTAATACCAGCAGACATATCTATTGGCGGTCACCATACAAATTTCACATCTCAGTTCATAACGATTCATCACTCATCAGAATGAAACCAAAATATTTCATATGAACACAAATTTATTTTTGGAATGCATCTCTTTTGTTTTCATTTCAGACCCAACTGTAACAGACGCGTAAGAAATGGAACGCATCTGTCATAATTCACATGAATGTCACCCCTGTCCCTTATTTATATGAGGCCATGTGGCCACGCCATAGCTCAAGCAGTTAGTCGCTGGCATCCCACTATGGCGGCCTGGGTTTAAGCCCGGGTCTGGTCAAAGTGGTGGACAAAGTGACGCTGGGTTAGGTTTTCTCCAAGTACTCCAGTTTCCCCTGCATCTTCATTCCACCAAATTTTCCATCATCATAATCACCCAGGGCAGGTACAATAGGTCAAACAGTGGCCAATGTGCTGAGTGGACCCAGATGGACTCCACCCCCATTAGGCAAATAAAAAAAAACAATATACGAGGTCACAGATTTAATCCGTGCTTACAAATTCAAATATAGTGACCCTTGGGAAATGTAAATCAAGGCAGTAACTAAATGACATAGTAACTGATTAAACAACAGCTACAGAATTACTAGTTTTAAAACACAGAAACTAGTTTCTGATCATGAGTAACAGTAATCAGATATCAGCATTCATTAAGATTATGATCTTCCAGAATATGATGCCATGGAATTTCCTAGGAGAATAAACCTGCTGCCTCCACAAGTTTTTCCAAAATGCTGATATCTATCTATTGAATTATATCAAATGTCAGAAGACAGTAATATTCACAGCCATGGCCATCACAACCTCAAATCTCGCAGCAATACTCATACCTCCAATTCCCAATAGCTCCCTCAGATCCTGATCTAAGGCCAAAGCAAATCCAGGAGGCCCAGCAGTAACTCCAGGGCATGTTACCATGGCACCTCCACCAGTCTCCCCACTAACAACTGTTGCATATGTAATAGGAACTGACGAAAACTTTGCAGGTACTGGTGGTTCAATGTCAAATAGTTCTGGCTCAAAGGGTGTATTATACAAACCAAATCTGTAAAAAGAAAAAAAACTAAGTATTACAATGTCCCTTTAATTGCATAAATGTTAAATAATATACAATTTATTTTTCCAATTGTGCAATCACAGAAAGAAATGTGAGCAAACAAAAATAATTATTCTGCTGTCTCAATGCATCAATCAAGAGTCAATTGTCATTTTTATAAATACAAAATGTTTGGCTTGTATCACCTTCTTTTTAACGTCTAAACAACTCTTGCTCTCTTCATTCTACAGACAAGAGTGTCCAAAACACACATAAAGTAGCAAAGTATTCTTCTTAGTACGAAAGATCTAGCAAGAAAATGTTTCCATGAAGAGTTTTCCTCCCACTAACTGTCTACTCAAAGACTGTGTATAATAAATGGCTGAAAAGAATGACTTTTGGAGTTCAACAACCTACGTTACAAGTGGCAAACTAGGCAAAAAAAAATATATATAATCTGCTGCTGTCAGGTTTCAAAAGTTGAGTCACTGTTGTTTATTGTGAACAGCAAAGGAAGAGCTCAGAAGGACTACTATTAACAGAAAATATGAGGAAGAAAGATTTTATTTTCTACTGAAAAGTTGATATCCTGTAGCATTCCTGAAATATGGACTGTGCCACCTCAATGAGAACCACAAAATCAATTACCATGAATTTTCATAGCTAGTATCACTTGATACAAATATTACATCCTTTGCATGTCATGCACTAATTAGATCAAAGAGGCATACCTCCATTAAAACTGCCAGAGTAAAAAAAAAATTGTATTATCATTTAATAGAGCATATCTGTCAATTCACACCACTAAGCATTACATACAGATGTTTAGAGGAAACAACAGGCTTTCATATTTTCTACATCTGTGGTTGTTTTGAAAGTGATCTGAGGAAGGATTGTGGGTATTTGTGTATGATGGCATTTACCCCACCAGCAGCCTTTCTAGGCAGAAGTTTTGTGGTGAGGCTCAAAGTCAGAGAGTTACTCTATTACATGAAGTTCAATGATTCCATTATTCCTGTTCACAAAATGATTAAATTACCCAGTGCCTAATATTCTACACTGTCATCATACTTAATGTTCTCATCACACTTTAACAAACTAATCTTATGATAGACCAATGTTACCACTCAAGATTTAAGTTATCCTTCTTCTGCCTAGTTCCAGAAAATGAAATATTTCTGAAGTTTCAGATTTTCAATAAAGAAAATCAATTACAGCTTCCATCTCATGTAAGCATTCTGGACTGACACATGTAGCAGCAGGCTTGAAGAGAATGTTACAGCAGATAGGGAGAGGAAGAAAGAATCAAGTGCAGAAATTCCAAACACTAATGAGACTTACTTTTCATGCTGCCATCACAACAGTAAGTACTGATGGTCCACTTTCTTGTCTTTATTTCATAACCACGAAATACAAAAGATACACATCTTTTAACTACTTTCACCAAATAATAATGTTAGTTACAGTATGCCTGTATATCCTAAAACAATATATATATATATATGTATTCTTTGAAACAAAATTAGTAAGTAAAAAGTAAAGGTATCCCTGTAACAGGCTGTGGAGGCCCATAGGGTTGTGAGATGTTGAGGATCCCACATTTTCTAGACAATCAGCTCATAGATGGTGGTAAGGTTGTCAGCCTTACACGCCGGCCACCCTTTACCCCCCAGGAAGATTCCCGGTACTCATTTCTGTTAGAGACTGAATCGACCCCAGGGTCATAGTGCGGCTGGAAGGATTAGGTAAATTGGAAAAAATCCACCTCAATCAACTGGGTACCTTACTATAAATATGCTGTTATTAGAAGTATCATTCTACCAAACCTTGTCCTTAATAGCAAATTGTAAGGGCTGGATCTTGAGCTCATTTCTTCTGCTATCTTCTGCAAGAGTGTAACACATTTCTGTCCAGTAGTGGCAGAAACATCCAGTGACATGACACGACTGAGGAGGAGGAAATACCACCGAAGTGCTCCAGCCGATGTACTACAGGATATCATGGGTAACCACTCAAGCAATGCCCGTAGAACACAACCATCAAATTGAACTGTTACTGAGTCTAGGACATTCTTCATTCCCCTAAAAGAAGATGAAAGTAATATTACGAGAAATCTCAGACTACAGCAAAAACAAAACTAATGTAAACCTCTACAAAACCAATATTCAGAACTTGTAAGGTGAGCATATGCACTGCTGATAGATAGATACTGATAGATAAGAAATAATTAAATGCTCACAAGAAACTGGTCCCAAATCAGGAAAAATCGACTATACTATACAAACAGAAGTATATCCACATAAATATAACAAAACAGATCATCTTTCAATGTAAGGGTCATACTAGCATTTTACACAAGACATTTAATAGCAAATTGTTTTCAGAAAAATTCTGTGAACAAAATATTTAACACACTTAAGTGTCACTACCAAGTAGATCGTGTACATATAGTCATTACTCAAAATATTTTCTAAGTCATCAAAATACACTTGAGATCAAAACACATGGTGTTTTGAAATTAGAATGTAACATCCTTCAGTTACTTTTAATACAGTCTCAAACTTTCCAGGAAATGTCACACCAAATCTATCTCTCTCATACATATTTACAAAGTTTTTCTTCTGATGCAGACAGATTGAGAAGTTCATAACATGTAACAAGTAACAAACAAATTGTAACAGTAAAGAGCATATATACAGAATCATGAACTAATCTACTAATTCAGTGAGACAGATGTGTCTGATGTTACTTACTCGCTGCATATGATGATGAGTTTAACACACTTGTGAGCAATACTTCTTCCAGACAGCAGGATACAGTGTTTAATAAGTGAAATAAGATTATTTTCAATAATTCTAGCCAGCTCCACCTGCTGTGCTTTTGCATCACCTTTTGATGTTCTATGCCTACTGAGCCTTACTGATGCCACCCAAATTAAAATATCCAAAGCCATACTCTGAGCTACAACAGTCTTGTCAGGTCCCTCAAGACAAACAACTTTCACAAGTTTCTCAGCAAACAAATTTGAATCCAGCATTGCACAGCGCTGGTTCCTGTACAACAGAAATAATAAGTAACTTAGTAGACAGTACTTATTTAAGAACATAATACTTATGAAACTGCAAACAGTAAGCTGCTGTCACATGATAAAAAATCATATTTGTATCAAACTACACAGTTTTTTAATATTTCAACAGTAACACATGAAATTAATTCACATCTTTTTACTGACTGGCTGATCTGTTCTGAATGGCAATTTTCCATACCGTTTTATAGAGGGCTATAAAACTGCTCTGGGTCAAGTAAAATAATCCATATTACCATGTATGACAGCAACCAATAGATGAATTTAATGAAGAGCCAAACATACATACGCAGAATCTGACTTTTTTGTTTACAGCTTTACAGCAATAGTGTCAATTAATTTCTTACATCCTCATGTACATGTAATGTTCTATAAAATTTATTAAAAGATACTCACTTTTATAGTTCTTCACTACATGTTTCAACTAATGTGGTCACCATCAGGTGTTAAAATTACTGAGTGAGGAAACCGTTGTCTTCTGTTTTATCGCTTAGGTTGTTAACATAGAAGTCCCCTCAATGCACATGTGTGTTTGAGGTGGTGGGTTGTATTCCCTCCTGTTGTGTGTTGTGCTGTGTGTCTTGTCATCAAGAAGACAACAGTCTCCTCATCCAGTAATTTTAACACCTGATGATGACCATACCGATCAAAATATTTAGTGAGAAACTTTTAAAGTAAATATCTTTCAATAATTTTTTCAGAACATTTGTGTTGCATGTGAGACTGTAAAAAACTAATTCGACACTAAATGAAAAGTTCAACAGGATGCTACAATATAATATTCTTTACAGCAATAGGTGTGCAAAGATTAATAATTACTATATGTTAGATATAACCTCTGGTGCATGAATTGTCTAACCTTTCATTTGGAATGTTGGTTTGCTTAGTTCTCCTAATGGTTATGGATATTTCATGTAACCAGTCACAGCCCAAGTAATATTCCATCTTCTTACTGGCAGCTGCACTAGCAAGACGATCCACTGTGTTGCCTGGCACATGCAGGTAATAGTCCAACATTGAATCTACTGACTTCCCTTTTCCACTATCCAATTTGCTCTTTTTTGAAGCAGATCCTTTCTCATCACTAATTCGATTTTTATTTGTCTGAAAATAAAAAAACGACTTTACCAATAGCAATAATCTAACACACCTAGAAGGGGGAAAAAACTACATTACTAACAAACATTTTAAAAACAGAAACTGGCAAGTTCAGTAATGTGCAACACAATAATAAAAAGCAGGTTACATTACATATTCTCATTTGTAACACCAACCACATATTTTACTTATTTATATTTTTCTTTACAATGTTATCAGTTTCATTTCATTTATTCACCTTACATAAATCCTGTCAAGAATACATTCTCATGCGGACATGGAGATTATCCCAGTTACAGTCACAACTAAGGATTACAGTTGTCACCCAATAGCATACACATTTGTAATACAATACTTATAAACTAATGTGCTCAATAACTCAATGATGATGAACTGCAAGGTAAGTGGAAGAAAGTTATCATGGCCTAATTTAAGGTAGTATCTTGGCATTTTCCTGGAGGAGAGGGTGTGTGTGTGCGCGCGCGCGCAAATGTGTGGAGTGGGGTGAGAAGTCGGCAGTCTGCATAGATGGTGTTCAAGCAACTTTCAAGCTACACACTTCTACATACAAGTTCAGAGAATTTCTACAATTTTCTTGCTAAAATTAACATTTCAATTGCAGCTGTTTAAAGGATCTATGAAATGTTTCAGGTGTGTACTAGTCAGACCCTCATCACACTATACATTTACTTCATTACTTCTAATGCAATAAAAGCAGAGAGTTGCCAGTCCAAGTCATATGAACAGCTTACCATTTCTTTAACAGCTTCTTTATCTTCACCAAGAGCTTTGATGTGCACTAAAAGCGTTCGGCCTCGTATCCTAAACAGTTTTGGGCTTGTGAGAGTGACAGTACCACTCTGATCTGATAAGTCGAGACAGGATGCAAGGTTCACTGGCCCACATAAAATTTCAGTATTGTGGTCACGCAGATATTCTTCAGAAGTAACAGGATTTTCCACAGGACCTAATGAAGCAGATAATTAAGTATTACTAACTTTAGAATTTTATATTTGTATGAACTGTACACTGGAATTCTTCTATATGGCACCCAATCTATCCTTAGATTGGCTGGATAAAAGTTGTTTGCCCATACCTGTCCACTACTGGTTGCTGAACCACTGGTCATCATCTGATGGTTGCTGGTTTATCTCAACAGCACTAGTTGCTCTTCAGATTCGCATAAATACAGTCACAGTGTTGTAAAATACAGTGTTCAAAGATGTATCATAGTACCGAACAGAAATTATTCACATATAATACATTTATACATCATTCTTAATAGAGGAAATGCCATAGAAAATTTCCCACAGAAAGTATCCTGATATGAAAGTGTCATGTAATGCAATGATTTATGGTTATCACAAAAAATTATATTCTGTGGGATGGGCATTGGACAAAACAAAAATTAAAAAAAGAATATATATATATATATGGATTTAGGAAAAAACAAACGTATTAAATTAGAAGCAAGTCCAAAGAAATTTATGTCTTCTAGCTGTTGAGTGTAGGTTGGCAAAAAGTACAGCTCACATTAAGGCCTTAAAAAGTATAGCTGTACATAGCCTTTTACCTCCAGGTTGTGAAGCAAGAATTTGATACTGTAGATGGTTTCAAGAATCAGTATTTAATGGGCTTCCGGGACTAGAAGCCATGTTTTATTCTGATGTGCTGCGGTTTACTTAATGGAGCCCATAAAGCTCTCATACTGTTCATGAAGTGATAATTCACGATTCAAAAGTCTGGGTTTGGTATGCAATTAGTGTATGGAGAATAATCAAGCATAAGTTTTTCATGAATAAATTCTAAACATTATTCGAGGCTGATTCTATCACCCTTCTGCAATGAACTAATGAAAACAAAGTGTACAGGCATTCTATATAATACAAGAGCACACAATGCGAACAAATCTATGGCTGCAGTAGATGAAGCCTTTGTCAAACGAGTCACCAGATGAGGACTGTGGTCTAAACAATTACCCATTTATATCCTCCTTTTATTTCTGGCGCAGAATGAAATAAAAAGTGTAGATGAACAATTTGCACTCTTTGGAAGAACTTCACGAAAATGTTACATATAACATTTCTGCTGTTCCATTAGGACACCTTGGATGTGTTCCTATTCTCAAGAAATGAAGCATGCTTTGAAGCAGAGGGTTGTCACTTCATGACTCTTTAATAATAAAATAAGGTAAGTTATACTACAGCAGAAAACTGGGTTGTGAATTATCATTTACCATGGCAGGTCTGTGTCAGAAGAGCGCAGTGTCAACTGGGAATAAATGTACCCCCCACAGAATTTGATTCATAGTATTAATACTACGAGCCTGCAGATCATGCCTTGTTAAAAGAAAGTGTTTTTGGAAGAAAATTAAATGAAATAGAGGGAGGAGGAGGAGTTTAGGGAGGAATGAAGGAAAATACAGTACTGGGCAAGGTGCTCATTCTTGATAGTGCACCAGTGGTTCTACTGTGGAAGTTGCAAATGTGTAAATTACAAAATCTGCTTATAAATAATTAAACCAGAAAAAACAATAGTCTAAAATTTGTATTCAAATAAAACATACAGATCTGCTGGGAATTCAAAGCATTATTAGGAGTGTCTCATACTGTGTGCAACCTAACAGCGTGACCAAACTATATTTTACAACCATGTATTTAAATTATTTAAAACTATCGTATGCCTAATACAAATCCACGACAAAATATATATGGTTTATGAGAATATAAATTTTAAACAGATGGCTGACAGCCTAATCATTAATAAACTGATGAATAATGCAATGGACATGAAGGCACTAAATGTATACACCGCATGCCTATACCATGTTCATGCAGCCTATTCACTCAACACAAATCCATCACATACTTTTAGATAAAATCTAAAATCACAGTTTATTATATCAGTTCTGTATGATACATCTTCAATATCTTATTTGCTATAAAAGTATAAATCTAGAACTGATTATCTTATGTCAGCACATCATACATATTTTGGTTCTTATGTAAATGCCATCTTGAATTAAACTTCCTTCTGTAGCAACATTACAGTATATTTTTTTATGAACATCTTCAGCTGGTGAGGGAAGTGCAGTGACAATTTTGCAAGGAAAAAAGAATGAGTTGTAGCATCTAAACAATCAGAATTTTGGCGGACACTATGAAAAGAAAGGAAATAAAAGAAGAGACCAAAAAAACAAGGTACTATACCTTTGGTGCTTCCATCAAATTGCATGTTAATATTGAAATCTATTGGTTCATCAACAGGTGGTGTAAACATCTTCTCCTTCCTACCAATGCCACTGGCATTTTGCTTGAGCAGTGTGACCTGGATGTGAGGTGGTGAGGAGCAAGGAGCATGCAATGAGAATTTCAGATCCACATGACCGATGCAGCAGCTCCGAGGGAGAGTGATCTCAAATACATGCTCATCCCATGTTGTGCTGGAAATAACAGAAAGTTAATGGCAGCAGTACTGACAGGGCAGTTGACATGCTTGACATAAATAGAGTGCTTTTTATAAGTATAAATACAGGCACAAATAAGCAGGAAAATAATGTCCTATATGGTACCCATGTTTGTGTTTGTCTCAATTCTGACTTCACATCTAGTTTAGGAATGGTGTCCTACAACATGAATGATGTTTTTTTTTCCTTCTTTTTTCTTTTTTAATAGACTAAAAATGTGGTAACTGTGAAGGCCAGGGAAATAAATAAATGTAGATTATCTGTACAAAATAACTAAAATACAATTTATTATGACATGACATGGCATATCAACAGTGTGAAATTCTGAGGTTATATATGAAAAAAATTAAATGTGGAATCTGTCCTTGCACAATAAGTTATTCTCAGAAAAAAATAACCACAATAAAAAACTCAACATGCAAAATATCTGATTTCAGACAAGATATACACTCTCAAAATCAGCTCAAAAGCTCAACAGGCCAACTCTTCTGCAAACTGCATTTTGTTATACTATAAACTTTCATTATCTAAATATAACATTCACATAAGATTTGTAGCACTGGATGTATGTGCAGTATGAAAGTATTCTGTATGAAGTGAGCCCTGAACACATAAATTACTGTTATAGGAAATTAAGAAGTATATTGTTGGGGTGAACACTGACAACATATTGTTTATTTCAAGTTCTGGGAAAATCAGTCAAATGGTTAAAAAAACTGAAAGGGACACACACAAACAGACAGACACAGGGGCAGCATGGTGATCTTATAACCCTGCTTTTTTTTTCATTCAGAAATCACGGATTGAGACACAAATTCCCCATACATTGCATACAGAGTATCAGTGGCAATCGTTCTCTTTAATCACTTTATGCTGTGTAACACCTACAAGTTAAACAAATTTAAGAATATATAGTTTTAATTTCTTGAAACATTAATTCTCACAAGAAATAAACTACAGTAAACCCACTTTATAATGGACCCAGATAAAATGGAGTTCTAATATAACTGATAAAACCTGGCTGTGTATAATTGTCCATTTTAAGAGATGTTGAGGTTCCAAGAACTTCAATGTAGAAACCTTTTAGAGATGCTGAGGCTATAAGAACCTCAATTTAACCTTTAAGAGCCGAAGGACACCATATGGGGACCTTTAAAGTAAAGCTGAGGTGGCCGAAAGACACCGTATGGGTATGCGCAGTCCACGCGTGCGCACAGTGTTTTAAAATCTAATTTTAAGATAGAAAGTCTTGTTCTACTTATATTATTTTTGGACACCAGCTTTATAAGTAGACTGTCTTCCCTCCTGCATCATCTAACTGAATGTTGCATGTCACTGAATGCAGAGTCCGACGTCGCAATTCATGCACTTTGTCCATAATTTACTCTGTTTTCCACGCAAAGCGCACACACGCAATGTTAGTCTCGTATTAGCAGGAAGTAAGCCAGTGATGTCAAGTGGTGTCCTCTATTCATAACGCTTATAAAACATTGCAATTTCAACTATGCACCATGGCCCCTTTTCGCATTGATAGGAGTCAAAATTCAGAGGCCGCTAGTAAATCACACCATTCAGAATGCGTTACAGTTTATTCTGAAGCGACTTGGAAGCAAGCAGTATGAGGTGATATTCCAAGAACTGCCTCTGTGTGGATAGTCCGACATACGTGAATAAACAAACAGAGTTTCATAAGGCAATGTAGGATAAGAACTCGCCCACACTCGGGTATACAGAAGCCTAAATGACTGGAGAATGTGCAGACCGTAAACATCCTCTCCTATTGCCAGATAAAAGACACATACAGTGCGTCAGGACCATGCATTTATACTGCAGAAACATATTGTGCAGAAGCTTTATGCATTTTGTGGACAGACGCTCAAAATTGGGGAACATTTTTTTTTGGAATCAATGCAACAATTTTTACAGATTCTAAAATCTGTAAATTAGAGTATCTGATTCTATATACTTTCTAGATAAAAGTAGCGTTTATTTCGTTCATTTATCACAAACATTGTAGAAGTCACAGCATTTTGAGTAACATGATTACAATTTTTATTACTCTACAGTGGCGGGCATTTAAATTAACTGTCCCACTGCCACTACAGGAATTTAAATGGCCCGTCCCTTAGAGGTTAAAAATCATTATGTAACCACAGTGTGTTTCTATGTTTATTGCTTGTAATGGCTATGTATCCTCTGGTGTACTTCCATGAATACCCCTCCACTTGGTTATAAAAACATCAGCAATAAAAGACACTCTGCCTCCACTATTAATCTGTTATAATGAGAGTTTACTGTACAATTAAATTCCCAAAATATCCAACATAATTTATCAATGGCTATTGTTCTCTTTTCTCAATTTATGCTACATTAACACCTACAGATTAAAAGAATTTAAGATCATATAGTCTTAATGTCTTGGAACATGAATTCACATAATAAAGACACTATATAACTCTCATGCATGTTATTTTCTACTTTGTCTTCACAGCCTCCACATTTATTTCTCATACGTTACTGCACCTGTAGGATCAGCACATCACCACTGTTCTGGAGAATGGGAATGGTGTATTGTGTTCTTCCTTTAAGTGGTGCAAGGAGTATTGCATTTATAATCAAAACTGCTACTCAGAAAGAAAGAAACAAAAGAGTGCACAACAAATGCTTACCAATCACACTGAAATGGTGGCTAGCAATGCACTCATACTAACATATACAAGAGCAGTATATTCAACAGTTATGGGTTTATGTCTGAGAAGTAGCTGAGCCAGATGATGGTGGACATGCAGATAGCAACCCGCAAGGTACATACAATGGGTCACATCGATTGTTCAATGATATTAAATGCGCAGTTAATTTATGCAAATCATCATTCAACTGTTCTCATGGCAAGGAAGCCCTGTTCATGTTTAACTATGGTGTGATCCAACAAAGAATGAGTGTTTCTCATTGGATATTTCATCAGACAAATAATACCTTATGATAAATGTGTTCATAAATTTGAGAATTACCTTCTTCAGCTCATTCTTGAGAAACATTCATGAGTATATATGGTGAAATATTGATTCTGAGATCCTTAATTTTATGTTTCCTCCAATTTTACACACTTGTCATTTGACCCCAGCCAGATTCGATAAGAACAATATTAAAATTTAACCAATCTTATGTATACTTAAATGTATGTTTTCCCTGAATTTGCAAATAATTTTTCAAGTCTTGACAACAGAAATTAACAGGCTTCATGTTTGCAGTGTTAGTTTTGAAAATATTCAAAGAAACACTGGCACCATTCCACTCATGTTCAAGGTTTGGCCTGGTAAAACAAGTATTTCTGAACCTCACATGAGTGATCTCAGCTAATCATAAGACAAAGCCAGTTTCATTGGCTAGATAAAGCCATTTGTATATCTATGACACTAGGCATTGTACATAAATGTGGCAATCCATTTACTAAAACAATTTTTGGGTATGAAATATGGAAAATAAAGTGCATATCATTATGCAAAGATGATGTACGTGAATATGAGTACATGCAAAAGTACATCTATCATTCATTCCTGAAACTAGTTTTTAGATTTACATACAGCTGGAGTCAGAGGACAACTTCAGTATCTGCATTATAAGTGAATATTACATTGATCTAATTTTGAAATCCCTCTTCTTATGTACATAGTACTAATGCAGTGATTAAAATACATATGTGAAATTTTGCATACATTTCAGACTGCAGTCAAGCAGGTAAGTCATGAAATTTTTCTGTTTGAATAAAATAATCTGAAAGTTAGAGAAACTGGAAACATATATAGTGGACTAAGGACCTTACCCCTCTGTACCTGAAAACTACAGTAATAATACATGATGCAATAACTAAAGTATTTCATACAAATTTGCAAGACATAAATCATGTAATAGTATTGGGGGACATGATTAAAGCCACAGCACATCTGAGTCTGCAACATAAGAGGGCCTACTAAACTAAACAATGTTTGAACACTGGCAAACAATCAGGCCTGGTGGATCTAGCACCTACATCAATCTGTTTTTTAATACTGGTCTCCATGACAAGAAATACTCCAAACCCTATACCACTATATTAACACTCACGCATCATTCTGCAGTCTCCAGCTCCTAGTATGCTGAAGTTCATCTCCCTGCTGCAGATGCTGTGGATGTCGTCGCTGCTTCTGAGCTTGCATCATTTCAGTCCAACATGGTGGAACAGTAGCAGCATAGCAAGGGGACAAGTTCTCATATTTTGTCAGTTCATGAAGCAAATGCAGTTCTGGCAGGCCCAACACTGGTTTGTTAACCAACAACTGATCACTACTGAAAAGATACACAATTCTCACAAATATGACTCTTCCATTAGTTTTATACTGTTACTGTCTTACTGCAGAGCTAACGGAGTGAGCTGGTGATACAGTGCAAGTCCTATCTAAATCAACAAGATGCTGGAAATGAACACTATACAGATATATGTGCTGTGTATTTCATTGCACAGTATCTTAGAAGGATACATAGGATGAAAGACATTACAAATACTGAAGCAATGGTAGAAATGGCTGTAGTCTACTCATAACCAAACAATTCAAATGGAACACAGAAAGAGGCAATCAGTTCTGCTGACAAAACGGAGAGAGAGGAGAAGGAAGAAAGAGACACCTTACCATTCCAGGGAGAACTTAGGCAGGCGCTGTAATAACTTATATTGTCAGAGGAACTGGCCAAGATTATGGTGGGACTGCATCACATGGCCTGTGTGCACCTTTTATCCGGCCAGAATAACTAGGACTGTCTTTGTGATGGAAGGGGTATGATGTCAGCAGAGCCGGCATGCACATCATTTGAACTAGCCAAAAAGTTTGGGAGCTTAATCAGCTAATGAGAGAGACTAAGTTCTCCCTCAAACCTTTTAAGAGTCTTGTCCACATATGCCTATATATAAAAGAGTAGGTGGCAGGGAGTTGAGTGAGTGGAGTGCTATTACTAGAAGAGTACTGCTATGAAGTTAGGACAGAATGAATGACACAGACTAGGCGAGACACAAGGAAGTAGCGCATGGGGCCACAAGATGCTCAACAAGACAAAAGGACTCAGTGACTGGAACCTGTTGCTGACAACTGCCAGACAGTCTCAACAGCATAGATCGTTAAGATAGTGAGACAGCAATACCTCAATATACTCATAATCACAACAATATTATATCATAATTGCAACATCTGACATTACTATATGTCAGAAAGTGGACTCTTTGTCACACACCACAAAGCTAAAACAGCAGACATTAATTCATACTTTGAAAAATATTTAAAGTGTAAAACATTTAAATTCACTAATTATATTTATTACACTGTCTTAAAGTAGATTTAAGAGTTTACTACGTTTAATTCATATAGTGTGTTGATCGATGGTGGTGCAACCACAATGATCCATCTTCTGTACTCGAGTTTCTATGAAAAATAAGTTCCTTGCAACTTGCTGCTATTGAAGCAGGGTATAATGGTTGGAAAGATGTGAAGAAACAACAGAGTTTCTTAATTTGTGTTAGCTATATATACAGTATTAGGTCTTTAATTCAGGTGTAAGTAAACACTCTTATTGTATTTACAGTAAGTTATCTTGATCTACAATTCACATATATCTGCAATGTATACATACATGTATATATTTATACATGCATCCATAAGCGGATAACGTTCCCACCTCATGACTCAAGGTACGCGGGTTCAAACCCGGCGGAGGTTGTGGAATTTTTAAGGGCGGAAAAATTCAGGGAACAAGTCCTCTGGGAAGGCATTTAAGCCGTGGGTCCCGTGTCATAGATTTACTGCACGTAAAAGATCCTCATGTCTCTAGGAGACCTCTGAGCAAAATTAGGCAACACATTTCCCGCCCAAGTAGTTTCCAATGCCTCTGGTAGATGGGGGAAATAGCAGGTACCAGGCTGACCTCGTTGGCTGAACGGGGCTGATAGCACGCACCAGTACTGGTACGGTATGGCGACAGTAGAAATTAAAGGGGGATGCACAATGGACCAATAACTGGTCTAAGTGCATGGGGAAACCCACCCCCTCTAATAATAGTAATACATGCATCCATTCATACTCAAACATCTGAATTACAGCAATAAGGACACAAGAGAAGAATTCTATTTAGAATTACCTAGTGTTAGCAGAACCAATGGGTGACAGTGAACTTCTGGGCACACCGGCAGTGTTAAAAGGATCATGGGTGAAATCAGCAGCCTCGTTACTACTAGTTGGGAGTGGTGATCCACAACTACTACTACTCTGCTGTTGGTAACTGAGATTATGTGATGATACAGACACACAGAAGTCACTCGCATGGCTGATGCCATCTTCCTCTCTCTCCTCCATAGTGTTTTCATCATTAAGCACAAAGAAATGCAATGAGCCTTTGTCTGTACAGGCACAAAGCCTCTCCAAGCCTGGGCAAAAAAGAAACAAATGTTTCATTATATCAAATAATACAATCATCACCATTACCTACCGAACAGAAGACAACAGTGAAAACTTGATTTACTCAAGACACTGACACAAGAAGGGATGACTCTTACAGGAAAATTGAACCACTTGTGACTAATTACAAATTGTTAACATATTCTGAGTTACCAGGGCAGAAACATAAAAAAAAAACGGGAAGTATGCAAAGCAGTGATCAAATTTCAGGATGCAGAGAAAAAATCAGCAGTGATATTCATAATAACTGATCAGATGTGGCTATATGAATCCTGTGACTTCTGCTGGTGAGCCATCAAACTTTATCGGCATAACACTGCATTATTATAACAGCGCATGCAACAAGTCCAGTTGGCCAAGCACTGCTTTCTTTCTATAGCAATATGACTAACATTAAGTTAATAGAGAGCCATCAGCCCCTTAATACTAGGACACTTTACATCCTGTTACTTATGACCATCAACCCTGTAGTAAAGGGTGATTCAAAGTCCACTTTCTTAAATGACAAAGCTTAAATGCCCTAATTACAAATTAACCATCTCTGTTTGCTCACATCACATTGGTTCACACTACTTGATTTGCTAATTACTCATAACCTTATCAGTCACAATAAGTTCCAGTTATAAATGGAAGTGCAACTATTACAAGATGCAAAGTGTCACTATATACTGTCAATAACAAATGGAGGGTCACTCATTATTCTAAAAGCTTCTCAGTAAAATGCCATCCCTTAAGTAGCAAACATTATTATGTTCTAAAATTTTCTTGGGTGATAAGCCTTGCCAGTGACAAGTTGAGATCCAGTTTTCCAGAGATCTCCATAATCAGGGTCAATATCACTGATGACGGGAGACACAGAAGGTCTCTGAAACTCTTGATTTTTACCTCAACACTGACATGACTGACCACTGAAGATTTTGACAAATTTACCTCAACATTGACATGACTGCCCACTAAAGATTTTGACACATTTATTCACCATGAAAGCTTCAAATATTACACTACTGTTATCATGTGTAACATTTTATACTATAAGACAAAACAATCTGTGCATACCATTTAAAAAAAATAAACTGCTTAACTAAGTGGTACACACTATTCCTTGAAAATTTTGTTAACTGGCTGGTCAAGACATAGAACACAAAGGCTCATCAGCTTGTGTCACAGATGCTCACCATTCTGCCTTTAACCAGTCTACTGATTCCCACCGTATTTCTCTCAGATCCACTTCAATATCCTTCTATTTATGCTTCAGTTCCCCATTAGGTTTCAACCCTTATGGTCTTCAACAGAAATCTTGTATGCATGTTTTCTTTCCCACTTCCTACACATCCTCTCAGGTCCAAACACCTTCCTCGGTATTTTGTTTCCAATCTATGTTTTCCCTCAGAGTGAGAGGCCATCATACCCATATAATAATAAAAAGTAAAGTCATCCTTTTGCTTAATTAAACACCATACCATTAATATCTATGAAGGAACTGAGGTATAGCTCCCCATGCATTCTTAACCTCAGCACTACATGGAGGTAAGCAGCAGCCTCAAGCTCTGGCTGCATTACCTCCAGGGAAAGACACCCATATAATACAAGTGGTATAACTACAGTTCCATATATTAACACCTAAACATAAACATTAGTACTATGTTTATGTTTTGTGCACAATATTGAGTATTGCAGTGTAGAGAACATTACTCACTATTACAATAAGTAGCAGATACAAATCTAGTCCCTTTCTTCTCTGGCACAGCCTGTGAGACTGTTTTCAAAGTTGCCAAGTCAATAATTCTGACAATACCATCTCTGCAAACCAACACTGCCATTCCTTGGGGACATCCTTTCACAGGGGCCAGAAGATTATTGGAAGAATCGCCATTGTCTTCCTTCTCTAGCAGAGGCAGCAGGGTAACTTCCATGGGACACTCCCCACACATACCGAAGTCCCTCACCTTCACAGGTGTCTCATCCAATTTCACTACTTCACCATCAAAGTTAAGGGCATACACTAGTAGCACACTCCCCTTACACATCGTAACATTGGTCCTTTTGCAGTCACTGGAGTCCAACATTTTTAATCCTTCCTGAAATGCATTATCATCATGAAAGAAACCAAAATTCTGTCGGGGAGGAAACTGTTCAAGTGGTTTGACCTCTGTGATGGAAGTGGGTTTCACATTAGTTGTCATTCCTAGGTTTCCCACTGCATCGTCCACATCAATATCCATGTCACTATCATTATCGCTGCATTCAAATATCATGTTTCCTTCATAATTTGAATTGACTGGCACAGATGTTGAACTGCCATAACCAGAAACCGAGTTCAAACTAACTCCCTTATCACAGTCTGCAGAACCCAACACTACAAGCACATGACCACCATCCTTGGTAGGATGGATTCCCAAAATGGACAGATTTCTCCTCTCTTTGTACATGTCAGGTAACGGAACACACTGCACTACAATGGGGTCACGTTGTTTTGTAAGCTGGCAATTACTGACATTATCAACACTAGCCTTATTACTACCACAGTTGTCTTTCTTGGGCACACGACTAACTTTAATCACCATTGGTGGGCTACCATCTGAAGTGGAGGGAAAATTGGACATACTGATACCTCCATTTACAGCAGAAAATGTAACATTCACCGATGAAGCATCATATGTTCCACCTCCACTTGCTGGAGCGGAAACTGCAGTTGGTGGTGGATAGATGCCTCCAGAAGATGAGGCCGCAGGGAATTCTAACCCATCTACTGAGCACTCGGGAGGTGGAGCCATAACAATATCCGTATCCACATCCTCCATAACTGACGCATCATAGAACAATTTTGAAAACAAGATATCGGGGTACATGTTGTTATTTTCTTGCCTTGTTCCAGAGCATGAAGCACTTGTTCCTGTACCGAATACAACTTTCTTTGCACTGCTTCCAGCCAGACCCGAATTACTTTTTCCCCCACTACCACCATCATCTTTACTGTCTACACACTCATCTTTAATAAGGTTATGATAATGGAAATCATACACAACAAGGAATAGCGATTTCTTTTGGTCTACTGTCACAGTCTGGTTGGATGAGCTGCAATCGTTTTTACCACTAGGTTCACCCTCACGGACTTTCATGATATCCAATGCTGCAGACTCACGGTTACTTGCTTCATTTACATCATTCATGGCTTGTACCATTGGAGAGCTAATGACATCACTACTTCCTCCCCACACGAGATCTAAGTTAGTTCTCCGGCTGGACACCGTTGAAGGCCTAACGCTAATACCACCCACAAGGGAAGGTCGAACTGATACATTGCTGCCATTCTGCATCGGTTTTGTAACTTTCTTTCGTAGCTGTTGCTGAGTCTTCTGATGGTGAGGACTCCCTGTTATACACACAGCTGTTAGTTCCATGTCTTGACAACTAAGTGGAGGACCCAGTAAATTTTCTGAAAAACAAAACAGAAATTACACTCTCACACACTGATATTTTTAAACAGCTGTGGTAATCATATGTGTACCAGCACACAAATTTGCACTATGATAAAGAACAAAAGAAATGGCCTAAACTTAAACACTGCACGTGTCTCTTCTCACTTAAATATTAAGTACAGAAATATTAATGGACCCTCAACTTCACAACAAATTCACTGATAACATTATGTACTATTTTAACTGGTCATCACAACTGAAAAATTATGTGAAACAAAGAAGTGAACTGATGAATGAATGTCCATAAAATTATACGAAAGCTGGAAATACAAGCTCACAAACAGCTTCCTTCACAACATATTGAGGAAGTCCGAATTTTATTTGAATGGGTATATTTTCATACACGAAATTTTATATTTCAATGTAATGTATTTACTTACCTACAGCAATATCAGACAGAAGTATTTCCACAATATCTGAGCAAGGAACTTCAGTATCAAAAGCATCACCTTTTTCAGGCCATGCTTCCCGTGGTCTGATATCACTATAACCTATGCTGTCTTGGTGTTGAGATCTTGTAATTGCAGGGTCAGATGGTGTAATATAGAAAGATACTTCCTTCTGCTCAAAAAAATGCACATATTAAAAACATCTTACAGTAATATACAGGTACTGATTCATGACTTACTGTCTCAATTTCACAAGCTTATACCTGAGGTCACCCCCACAGAAGTAGATTCATTTCTCAACACATATAGATTTATTATTACCAGAACATGAAAAAATGTTACATGTTACAGTTCTGAAACCAAGAATACAACCACTTTCACATCAAAGATTCAACAGTTATTTAACATCTTTGTTCCAGTAAACAAGTTTGGTTGCTTACAGGTGTTGTGTCCAAACTATCATAGAGGAGTGTGGTTACTAGGACCAGGCTTTGATAAGGTAAGCTATTTTTCTTTTTGAAGTGCTTTGGGAATGCAGGTTCTTCTTCTATCTCTAGATAAAACTTGTAGTTAAATTTAGTGATATTTTTTCTGAGAAATGCTGCAAACTACTAATACACTGGTAAAAATGGTGAGCTATAAGTTGGCCAGCTGTGGGGTTCTGGGAATGAAAGTCTTAATTCAAAAGTTTTGGTTCACGATACATGAATACGTTTAAATTAATGGTGAGAACCAGGATCAGAAAACATTAATAATGCCCAGCAACGCTTTTATCAACTTCACAAACTTCAAAGATATATTGAATTGAAACATTTCTGTGAGTTCTCTATAACTGCACTGTCACAATGGGCAGAAAAGGGGAGAGTGAGATAGATTTTGTCTAGAAGTTAATTCTTTTTAGTATTGTCAATCATTATGATTCCGTTGGTTCAGGTTGCCTGTAAAATACTGTGCAAATCAATAGTAGTAATTTTGAAATACTTGAAGCTGGAGACCGAAAAATCGATGTTCATGTGGAGAACAAGGAACTTTCTTTCTCAATTCAATCCTGCAAATTTGAGATTGACATATGCCAAATAAGAATATATTCATACAGAAGGCTTATGGTTTGTTACATAGAAAAATATCTGAACCTTGAAAACAGACAAATAATTATACATTTCTTCATTATATGCTGAAAATAATGAGACCCATTAACAAGATCTTCAGTGTCAGACTTTAATATCTATTGGATTTTGAGGTGTAATTTACATGAACATCCATTAGATACCTTCAACTGTCTAGAGATATTCCATATCGCCACAAGACCATGCTGTGTGGCTGTGGCGACAAGTTCAGGAACTGATGATGTTCCGACACATGCTACTTCTTCACCCTGATCTCCAAACACAGTGGCAGGTGAGGTGGCATATGTCACTGATAGAGGAACATTCTGAGTGTACTCCCCTTTCACAAAAGGACATGACGGAGAATGACGCTCATGCTCGGACCTGTGCAATTAAGACACACTATAGAAACAGTAATATTATAAAGAAGTCCTTAAGTGTACTTACTGTACTTACAGAGAGTTATAGCATATTTGCTTAAAGTAATATGATTTCAAAAATGTCACCTTCTGTCTACATAGGATTTCTTACTTGAAGTGACATCACTTGGCTTTGTGACCTGCTCACATATTTAGTCCTATCCACATTTACTTCTAGCACAATTCCTTACTAGCTTACAAAGGTACCACTGGAAATTATGACAGTGCCTCGCATTTCACACAGAAATCATGCAGTGCCCATGCACCTGCTGAGAATAATTCAGCCAGACTTACACTTATATACAAAAATATATATTCAAGTTTAAAACCTTCTGTAAATTTTCTCAGCTTCAAATACTAAATGGATAATTACTAATAGACTTTAAAGGATTCCGACGATGGTCGGAATGGGCCCAACTGAGTAGGTCTATCTTGCCCCATCCACCTGAGGACGGAGACAGATCCAGTGTCCGAAACGTGGTTTTTGTCTTATATATACCGGACGATAGATAGAGTCCAAAATAAATCTTATAATTCTGGATAATTACTAGTTTTTATTACAATTTATAAGATATAATATTCAGAATACACTGAACATGACATCTCAATACTAATACAACAATTTGAAAATTAATGTAATCAAGTATTTCTCTGAAACAGCCTCATCAAAATACATCATAGATGAGATGTAAAATGTAGTGGATATTGCAGATGAATGAAAATGTGTGAATTATCAACATGGACAATGAAGCCTTCACAGACAGGATCCAAGGGACCAACTTCTAACTTCATTAAGGGAAAGTTGTCAGGACACTAAACTTATTTGACTTTTCATTCTCTTTTATTCCACTTGGTTGCATCTACCTTTTCATTTTTTACTCCTTCAATAATAGCCTTAATCTTATCCACACATTCTTGAGGTACCCAATGTCTAATGTTCATAATTTCACACACTGAGTGACCAACTCTGTTTCCTGAACAAAAATAACTGTCACACAGTACCCAATGCCAATTTCTGAGTTCAAAAACCAATAAGGTAAAAAGAGCAAAAAAATGTTGTATTCTAAACTGAAGCATACCACTGTGTGTAATTAATAACCTGTATCACAAACTTTTTCATTTTCATCCACATATCAATTAATTGCAAAACAGCAATAAATATTTAATTAATGTTACATGAATTGTTGGCCACACGCTGGGGAAGTATGATGAACAGCCATCAAGGTCACGCTTCAGAGGAATCCTCAAGGAAAGAGAGGAGGGGAGAGACCAAGAAACAGCTGCAGGAGATCCACTCTGGAAGAAGTTGGAGTTGAGGTATTCAGCAGCAGATCAGGAAAAATGGAAAAGAGCTACAGACGACTTATGCTCCTGATGGAACTACAGATTATTATTATTATTGTTGTTTTGTTGTTGTTGTTACATAAATTGTTGTATAATGAATTAAACTAAACTACAGTATTTGCAATCAATTTTATCTCTACCGTTCACCAGCTTCAGTTCCTATCTGACAGTATGGTTTCTTTGGGGAGCATGGAAGGTAAGACAGCATATTCTGCATTTCTACCATTTTATGTTTAAAAACAAACTACCACTTACCATGGTTCATCTGTAGGCTCCCAGCAAACAAGGCAAACATTACAAGTGAAACACATGGCACGGTCATCCCCTGTTGAATTCGGCTGATGGTAAAACCCTGCTTGTGCCATCTGGTCTGGTAAGGCCCATCTAAAACAAGTTAATTCCTTCCCTAACTACATTTTATGCATCTTTCAAAAACATAACAGCCTTTCTAAACCTGGCCTTCTTCAAAAGTTACAGAAAAATACCAACTCCATTTTTTATGCACAAAACAGTAACACAGTTTGGCTCTTTCAACACTTTTCAAATAGTGTCATAAGGATTATACAACAACGCATGCTGCACTGATAATTGTTTTAGGATGAGAACCATATATGAGCAGTCAAATTCTAATCAAATATTACATTTAAAAAATTATCATCAATTTTCATGCAAGTCATGATAGGCACTTTGTGTTCCAGGAACAATAAAACAGTTCTCAACAAACACAGACCTGGGTTCTAAGTCACTTATAAATTACACAAGCTAAATAATAGTGCCTGGAAGTCAGAAATAGAAACCAATTTTGGTCACAACTTAACCCTCCCTCCCACTCACTCCAGAAAAAAAATACTGGGTGCTTTAACCCTTTGACGTGGTCATTTAAATTCCGCGGCCGCGTCTCCTGCGGTAATATATTCAGCCGGCCATTTAAATTTTGCTCGAAAATGATTTATTCATCATTGTTCTTAAATTCTATGAGATAGGAACATGAAACTTTTACTAAAATGATCTAAAAAGGTGGTTTTATAACCTTACCTTATAATATGAGCAGCCGGTATCTCGGCAATGGAAGCAGTTTGTTTAGAATTTGAGCAGTGAATGGTACGCTTTGAAGCATGGAACTTTCACTAAAATGATCTTAAAAGATGGTTTTATAACCTTGCCTTATAATATGAGCGCCCTGTATCTCGGGAACGGAGTATGGTACGCATTGAAGCATTCTACTATACACAGCGCTGTCTCACTTCACCACACCAGTACTGCGTATCTCTCATTTGGCTCTCTTTTCCGTAAACCAAACATCTTCTGTGAGGCCTTGCATTCTTCCCCGTGGGGGGAATACAAGTGGAAATGTCTCTCCGTGAGTCGTATATTTTGCCAGATTAGCTGCAGTAAATTCAACCTTTGTGTTATCATAACAAGGGTTTGGTGCTTCTGCGTTTCAGATTCCAACCTTTTCGGCTGCCCCAGATGCCGTAGGGGTGACCACAGAATTCATGAAGTTATTCTAAGAACTGGCTGGTATATAGTGAACGAAAGCAGAGCTTAGCTGGCTCAAAAAAAATATTTATGGTCATCCCTCGAAACGACCACCAAGGTCAGTACGATAAAATGGCGTCAACTGGAGCGATAATAAGTACTTTTCCCTCCCCCACACACATCCGTATCGTCTCAGGGGGTGACCACAGTGTTCTGCCTTAAATTGTGGCGTTTTTCTAAGAACTGGGCCTTTGTACTGTGCGAAATCAATGGATCTCGCAAGAATAAAGGTTTGGACATCCCTATTCTAAGAATTCCAATTGAGTTGCGTTAGTGTGGCCAGCTCAGGGCAATATGATATTATGAACACAGTACTTATCACGTCTCTGCTGTTTATAACTTCGTAGCAAACAAAACACGACATTCATAACAGTAGAACGGTGAAACAGCTAGCAAGAGCCACAGGAACTTTGCTGCAAGACAGGCATATGTAACGACGACTTAGAGCAGATAAAGACGTGTCATATTATACTCTGTACTACTGACAACAGGCCAGCGAAAAATCTAACAATCTACAGCAAAACCATCAATTATTATGGGCGTTATAACATAGGTGTGCAGCTGGACGAAACATACACGTCGAACCCCCCCAGACGATTTAAATACCTGACGAAACATACACGTCAAACCACGGCAACGGGTTAATATAATTTCTAGGAGCCACAGTGATTCATCTCAGGAACTGTCGGTACCTAATTCCAAGGAGTACAGTCCTTCTTGAAAGGCTAACAGCCCATAAATTACTTAACTTTCAAGCCCTTCATGGTATCTGAAGTTTCATCACCATGGTCACAAGTGCCTATGACTGGTCCCTATTCTTAGTCAGACAAATTCATTCAATACACATCCTCCTGTTTCCTTAAGACAATTTTTATTTTACTTTCCCAGCTATGATCAGCATGCCAGGTGGTCTCGTCCCTTTGTGATGTTTGACCACAGTCTCATAATTTTTAGCTCTCAAATTTGTGCTACATGCCATTCTCATCTCAAACTCCTGGAACTAATCATCCTAACAATGTCTGGTGAAGAGTACAAATTATGAAGCTCTCCATCATTGAATTCTCTCTAAGCTTCCTGCCACTTTCTTTCTCTCATGCCCAAATATTTTCTTCAGCATCACGTTCTCATGTTTCACACCTACAATCTACAGGTAATAATAATTTAGTATATTTTAAGCTTTACACTTTCAGATAGCAGATGAGAAGAAAAATATTAACTGAATAGTAGCAAGAAAATTTAATCTTCATTCAAAAATAAATTAACATCAAGAGCTACCAATTGTGGAGAAAAATTCAGAGTTTAAGTTTAATGTAAATATATTACAAAACTACATTACAAAATTATTTAAAGTATGGATTTACACAAATAAAAACAACCTACAGTTAGCTGATTGCTTACTGCATGAAATGCAATGAGCTGCACATGCACATAGAAGAATTATGTGAACTCATTCATTTGTATAATACAATGAAACTGAACAACTACATACTTATAGTTCATGTGAGGCCACTTGATGAAGGTATCCCTACGAGCGGCTTCACTAAACATGAGTGCTCTGTCAGCTGGTACTCCCTCACTAGAAAATGTTGGCAGCAGGCAATTCAGTCTCTCATTTATGGCCGATGCTATTGAAAGGGCTGGTATGTGGCGGTTCTGGCGCTTTAACTCTTGAACCATCCCAGAACATACAAGCTTCAGAGCACAGTGTGGGAGCTCCAGACATATTGAATTCCACTGCAAATAAATTCCCATACAAAACTGAATATGAAGTTTAAACAGCAATTGATTATGCAAGTAAAAAAATTGCTATGTGTCAAACAAAAACACAACTGTCAGATAAATGTTCAATAAACAATGGTAAATAAAATATTAAAAAGACAATAGCCAGAAGTCAATGGATGAAACCAAGATGCTAATGCAAAAATACAAACACAAATGTGCTCCTTTCATTAGTGCAGAGGCAGTTTCCTGCATGAACTAAAGGGAACAGAGCAAGGGTTCTCCTTGCATGGGTGCTGACTCTCTCTACTTAAACAGAACTTTGTTACTGGTTACTGTTAAAATGGTACATCATCATCATCAGTAATCTGTCAGACGACAGGTCCACAGTCTCTTCCAAAACAATTCCTCCACTTAATGCGATCTAGAGCTTTCTCCTTCAAATGAGAATATCCTCTTCTGTCCCCAAGGTCATCCAGCATCTTCTTACGTCTTCTTCCTCGTCTTCTTGTCACTTCTATCCGCCCCTCTATCTTTCCTTCAATAACTTCTTTTAGAAGGCAGTTTCTGCGTAAAACATGACCAATCCAATTAGCTTTCCATTTTCTTATTTCGTGTAGGATATTCCTCTGCTCACTGACTCTAATTAACACTTCTTCATTTCTCACATAATTGGTCCAACTGATCTTCTCCATCCTTCTCCAACACCACATTTCGAAACTTAAAATGTTGTAATATTGTAATAATTATCGATTCTTGGAGCAATCACTGTCCTACTGTCTATAACCACACACACATTTCAGATCAGCTCTTTGTTCACTCACTGCTCTCACCTCTTCTCTCAACTTCTCTTTACTGAACTGAACTGAACACTGGCTAACTCACTACTCACCTGTCTGCTTTGCACTGCACTGAACTGAGAACTCATCCGAACTTGAAATATGACCACTACTTCTATATACACATCACCCATGAGGAAGATTCTAGCATATCCACAGCTTCACTCCCAGCGAAGCAGTTTCCCACATAATTCAGTTGAATCAAGAAGTGTTCATACACCATGTGACATGACTCACCAAACACTCAGCTGCCACAGTATTTTATAAGGGCTGCTGGAGATAACTATATTGTTTTTCTTCAGCTGTCAATTGGCTGAAGAAAGGATTCAATACACTGCTGAATTATCAATCCAAATTCAGTTTGCTAAAAGAATATCACTCTACTGATTTGCTGCACATTTCCAGCATAGCACATCCTTAATTTTGTAATCACATTCATTGAAAAGCATGAAGGTTTTCTTCATTCCATATTTTCTAGCTTACTGACATGACCAGTAATATAATAAATGTAGAGAACTAAATGTAGCAGAACAGCCAGCAACTTGGATGTTTTGTCTTAGATCACCATATAACTTCCCCACATAATGATAAATGACTGGTGCAACCAACAAACATACTAAACACATTCTGTGGGCACAATGCAGATTTATTTAATATGAAAGAATGTGTTTCATAAAGTCCTCACTGTATTTTAAGCACTGTATGTACATATATTTAAGAAATACTATGACAAGATTTCATTTAACCTTCTGAGCTTTGGTCCCCTTCTTTGACTTTCCTTGTCCTTCCTTGATCTTCTTTCCAAGTTCCTGCAAAACTTCTGCTGTGTGATCAACTCCAAGTAGTTCAACAGACCTCAGACTGTGTTGCAGCAAGATTGCCTGTTGGAAACAATTCTATATTACAGTTCTCTCTACACAAAAAATTTGATAGGAAAGAAGGAATTACTAATTCATATACACAGGGTTACTCAAAATGAATGAACCAATTTCATGACGCACTGCTTCAGTTCTCAAGCATCGTCATGCAATGAGTCAGTGACCATTTGAAAGATGAGTTATCTAAGTTGTGAATGGTTGCCACAGGGGCGCTGAAGTCGCGTCGTTCTTCCGGCAACGTTCAGTTGTTCGTTTAACCTCGGCATGACGAGTCCTCAGCAAAAGGCATTCTGCGTTCTCAAGTTCACGAAAACAAATTCGGTTGTCACTGTGCAGCGTGCTTTTCGAAGGCGATTCGGCATTAATCCTCCCTGTCCTAAGAACATTTGACCGTGGTTTCGACAGTTTCAAGAGAGTGGGTGTCTGTGTAAAGGAAAAAGTCCAGGACACCCACGAGTCTCAGAGGAACAAGTGGCGAGAATCCATGCTGCGTTTGAGAGGAGCCCAACAAAGTCAACAAATCGAGCTAGCCGTGAGCTTGCGATCCCTCAATCCACTGTCTGGCATGTGCTAACAGTATGTCTACATTTGAAACAATACAGACTGCAGCTCGTTCGGGCACTTACCAATGACGACAAAAGGAAGCAGATGGAATTTGGCGATTCGATGCTGGAGATGATGGAAGACGAAACCTTCAGTTCATGTTTAATTTTTAGTGATGAAGCGACTTTGCACTTGAGCAGCACAGTCAACTGTCGCAATGTGCGTATTTGGGGAACAGAGCACCCACATGAAACAAATGAGCATGAAAGAGATTCCCTTAAGGTGAACATCTTCTGTGCTGTGTCTCAGGACAAGGTTTATGGTCCCTTTTTCTTTGAAGAAAACACCGTTACAGGACAAACCTATCTCCATATGATCCAAAACTGGCTCTTCACTTCACTGCAAGCAGATTCGCATGACTTCACTTTTCAACAAGATGGAGCACCGCCCCATTGTCACCTGATGGTCCGAGCTTTTTTAAATGAAAAAGTGCCCCAGCGATGGATTGGTCGGAAGAGGGCCCAAGACCTTGCCCTTTGTGCTTGGCCTGCAAGATCCTCAGATCTCACCGTGTGTGATTTCTTTTTGTGGGGATATGTAAAAGATCACGTTTATGTTCCACCGCTACCCACTAACCTAGATGACCTTAAACGTTGAATAACAACAGCAATTNCAAGACAAACCTATCTCCATATGATCCAAAACTGGCTCTTCACTTCACTGCAAGCAGATTCGCATGACTTCACTTTTCAACAAGATGGAGCACCGCCCCATTGTCACCTGATGGTCCGAGCTTTTTTAAATGAAAAAGTGCCCCAGCGATGGATTGGTCGGAAGAGGGCCCAAGACCTTGCCCTTTGTGCTTGGCCTGCAAGATCCTCAGATCTCACCGTGTGTGATTTCTTTTTGTGGGGATATGTAAAAGATCACGTTTATGTTCCACCGCTACCCACTAACCTAGATGACCTTAAACGTTGAATAACAACAGCAATTAACTCAGTGCATCGTGATATGCTGATACGCGCCTGGGAGGAATTCTCTTATCGCATTGATGTAGCCCGTGCTGCAGGTGGTGGCCACATTGAACACTTGTAAGACAGGAAATAAAAGTTGACTGTGAGTAGAATACTTGTGACTTGGCTGGAGTTTTGTATTACTTTCCTTCAATAAAATACTGAGTAATAAAATTGGTTCATTCTTTTTTAATAACCCTGTGTGTGTGTGCGTGTATAGACACACAAGGCTTATGCACAAAATAAGTTCCGTTTGCAAATATTGCCACTGCAGCACTGCGTTCGCTTTGGTGTGCATGCGTGTAGAGTTTGTTGGTCCTTTTGGAAGGCACGGATGCCACTTGTAGAGAGTCGAACCATGTTTACGCATTGTCCTGTGTGTTTACAAGTAAAAGTAAAGCTATCCCCGTAACAGGCTGTGAAGGCCCATAGGGTTATGAGACGTTGAGGGTCCCACATTATCTAGACAATCGGCTCAAAAGACGGTGGTAAGGTTGTCAGCCTTATGCGCCAGCCGCACTTTACTCCCCAGGAAAATTATTTAATTAATTCCTGGTACTCATTTCTGTTAGAGGCTGAGTCAACCCCAGGGCATGTGGTTACAATGTTCGAGAAAAACGAGAAGCACACTGCACGTGAAATGCAGTCTGTAATCTGTTTCTTGAATGGAAGAAACACCCCAGGGCATGTGGTTACAATGTTCAAGAAAATCGAGAAGCTCGCTGCACGTGAAATACAGTCTGTAATCTGTTTCTTGAATGGAAGAAACATGAAACATGCCATGAGTGATTCAATGGTAAGAAGATGGGTAAGACACTCTAATGAAGGACGCAAAAATGTGCATTATGATCCGCGGAGCCGCTGACCATCTGTGGTTAAAGAAGATTTGGTGCTTGCAGCAGAAGAGAAGATTCAATCCACAATGGTGGAAACTATGTTGAAAAGTAGTCTACAGTATGTACATGAACTGGCAATAGTTTTTTGGATATAAATCCTTGTTTTTTTTCCAATAGCCCATCAGAACTTGCTTTCAGGATAACATATATATATATATATATATATATATAT